TCACAATATGTTTCTGTATGATCTCGTAATGTATCTGTCTCGTAAGAATTTTTAAAAAGCGAGTTATGGCGTAGCAATCATTGTATCATGGATCCACGATCTTTTGAGCGCAATGATAATAGAAGGTGAAAGATGGTATTAGATTATAAAAACAAATGAACAAAACTCCTTTATTTCAATAAAGGAAAAAATAAAAGAAAAAATTCTGGATAAATAATTTACTGAAATCGAAGATGTAAAATTTACCAAAATAGAAAAATTTTTTGGAGCGGTGCTTGTTTCGCCTGTGGGAGATATCGATTGTGGTATATGTTCTAGACTGACACCGGACACGTGTACAAAGCCGAGTAATTGTATTACCACGCTTCCGCTGGTGCCTTTAAATGCCCAGCATTCACCCGGAAGAACGCCAGTCTACATAAATAATTAGTGAAATAATTAAAACGTTTAACGCGAGATAAATATAATTAATTTTGAGTTCATTTTATTGAATATAAAAAAAATTCCTCGAAGGTCAAAAAAGAAATTTTCTTTTATTACTCAGGGGTTTTTCAAATAAATTTTTTATATCTGTGCTATCTTTCAAACGTTACGAATGATTTTGCGATATAGATGAAATTATTTTCGGAGTATTTCTTATCGTTACTTTTTTTATTTTTCAACGCGTATACCTAATTCTAAAATGAAAGGAAGGTGACCGGAATTGAACGTTAAAGCAGGGGTTCCCAAAGTGCGGCCCACAAACCCTAGAAAGATCAGCCGCGATCTTGAATTTACAGAGATAATTTACATTTTTACAAAAAATAAATAAATTTTATCATGTTATAATTAAAAATTGTTCAGTTAAAAAAATACTAAATTTTATATGTAATATATCTTATTATATAGATCAGAGGCGCTTAACTTCCTGCTCACGAGCAAATTTCCCCTCCCGAGGTTCCCCCACTATGCGGTACGAACACGCAGGAGTTGTGGTGGGAGGACTCCTCGCGTCCTCCTCCCGCCACGCCGCAACACGAGCGAGACAATCTCAGTCGCATAGTGGGGGAACCTCGGGAAGGGAAATTTGCTCGTGAGCAAGAAGTTAAGCGTCTCTGATATAGATTGTATATATTTTATTGTCAATTTAGAAAACTGGAACAAGTATTGGGAAGAGGAAGAAGGAAGGAGATGTGATTTGTGTGGTGATAGATTGGGAAATCTGGAACATTTGACAAGGGACTGCAGAGAAACCGAAAGGGATAATCAGGATGGAAGACGTAGCGAGTGGTAGACAGGACAGAAATATTGTAGAGTGGCTCGAGAAGCTGAAAAAGAGAAGAAAAGAAAAAAGAGAATATTATAGTATAAAGGAGGGGCAACAATTAATGGGTAATAAGTAGGGTGATCAGTTAGTAGAGTACGAAGGAATGAGAATGGAAGAGAGAGAGAGAGAGAGAACGAATCGAATGAGTGAATAACAGTTCTATAAAACGTAGGTTATTGTAAACCAAGTTCAATTCATGGCTGTGAGGCTGAATAAATAAATATATATTTTATTTTCTTAACGGTCAATGGTCGTAATGGGCCACCTAGGCAAAACTTTGGGAACCCCTGCATTAAGGTGTCCAACAATAGACATTTCGAACCGTAAAATAGTAAATTTATTATTCCCATAAAATACACGTAAGTACGGTCGATATAGAAAACAATTTTTAATTACCTGAATTATAGCCTCGGGTACATTTTGTTGTTGACAAATCGGTATTCCGAAAAGTTTCAGTACCGGTGCACCGGCCGAGTATGTTTCTGTGTTTCTCATCGAGAGAATCGCGCCACCTAGGCATTTCGAAGTAAACAAATATGTAAGATAGAATATCTAAAATTAAAAAAAAAAATTATTCTTTTTTTTTTTATTCGAAACCTGAACTTTCGAGCGCATAATCCGTTCTTCCAGTTTTGTCAGCATCGTACGTTTGCAGTTCGTTTTTTACCAAATTTCGAACGGTTTCCGGAGACATAGCCTTCAATAATGCTTTCGTGTGCAGTTCCATACCTAATGCAGATAAAAAATACCGACGCGGTTGTTACGAGAGGAAAAAAGGGGATACGCGCGGAAATGCTGTAAAACCGATGCATCGTATCTTTTTTACCCTCTGACACTTCGTTTCTTAAATAGAGAATGGCCTCAGACATTTTTGGAATCACGTATCCAACTTCTTTCAACTTACTCTTTAAATCGTCTCGTGTTTCCATTACGTTCTTTACTTCCATCTAAGCGAACGTTATATAAAAATACACTTTTTCTTTTTAATAGAGTTTCTGGTTAAATTGCGCACAACGGTAGAGTAATTACCGAAAGTGTGTTCAAATGCATTCGCAGGTTCACCAAGTCGGATCTAATTATTTGGAAGGTTGTACTGGCTGAATATTTGTCGCACAAATGAGACACGGACATTGCTGGAACGTTTAAGGCGAAGCATTTTATTTCGAACTATTTCGTCCTTTTTTTAGTTTCAAATGTTATTAACCCTTTCGCTACGGTCGCCTCTGCCCAAAAAAATTGCCTAATACGGCTGTACACTGGTAACACTTTTGTCCATTTATATATCGAATAATTTGACTTG